TGCGGAACGCTTCAGCGAGAGAGCCTAGCAAATTTCGGTAAAATGGAATGGTCCCTGATTTCAAAAATTGGTCCCTGGCTTGGTTACCAAGCATACCGCATTTGTAAATAGAAAATGTTACGGAAATTTCCTTTGCGTTTATAATTAAGTCATTAGTTTTGCTCTAATGCTCTCGGAACAATGAAATAGGCTACGTTTCGCTACCATACGGTCAGAATGGAATAACGGGCTAAATATGATTCGTATTTTAAAGTTTGTTCGTTCACTGCAACCAGGTATATCAATCATGTTTTGCTCGCTACTCTGGTTTAAATAAATGATTACAAAGCCCAGTCGAATTGTAATCAAGATCCAACGTTTCGACACTCCAGTCTAGTGTCTTCATCAGGGGTGATCTAAAGTTGCAATCATAGCTTCTTAAATACCCAAGGGATGACGTCACCTGCCTTGCAGTACACTATAATATCCATTACATAACGTTGACTTTAGGGCATATTTTCGCAAAGCCAAAAGATCCTGCTAAAACAAATCAGAAAACTCATGCTGTATATTCTATACCATGCGGTGACTGCGAGAAAGAGTATTTGGGTTAGTCTAAACGCCAGTCGTTTTGCACACGGCTAAAAGAACATCAAAAGGCTAGCTGTTTCAACTTTAGACAAGGGAAAATTAGCTTTAGCAAAACATGTATGTTACACCATACACGAGATTGCGTGGGGAAAACTCTAAAGTAATTACCACAAACAATCGCTATGGTCAAAGATTATGCCTAGAAGCGTGGAATATAAATATGAGTAATCATGCTTCGAATAGGGACGACGGTGCCTATTTGCCAGAGGAATACATGCATCTCATTGACAGGTGACGTCATCCCTTGGGTATTTAAAAAGCCATGATTGCAACTTTAGATCACCCCTGATGAAGACACTAGACAGGAGTGCCGAAACGTTGGGTCTTGATTACAATTCGACTGGGCTTTGTAAGCGAGCGAAACATGAATGACTCGTGTTTACTAAAATATAAAGCCGGCATTAAATGCTATCTAGAAGCTTGAAAATTATGCCGAGTCACCGACTAAAAATGTTTTGACAACACGGTCATGTCAGGCGGATATTTCTAATCTCCTCAGCTACTTAAACCTGTCAAGTAGAACGCGTAGTTGTGTATACCAGTATGGTCTAGTGTTGATCACAACTTGCGAGTATATAAATATCATCAACGATTATACGACAAAACTCTTTTGAACATTTTACCATTGCCCAGACTCAGTATCGTAAATTTGTATATATTTTTTTTTTAATTGAGCACATTTTTAATACAGTTGGAATTTGGTTATGTAGACATCGAATATGTCTGATCAACAAACATTGTCGTATTTACAAAGTGATTTTTATATACAAATTTTCCGCCATATTAGAAATACTGAAATCTAGGCATTCTGAAGCACCTTTAGCTGTGACGTCACACCTAGGTCCCAGTCTCGTACTACATCCACGTTTTTTTCTCGCGCTTGCTTCAGAACGACTTGGACTAAGGCTGCGTGATTAGTTAATCATCCGACAAACTACGTTTTGTAAAACGCAATTAACCCGTACGTGTAGTCACGGCCTTTTTTAACATACAATCTGGGGGGGAGGAAATGCCTCCCCCCCCCTTGTGCCCCACCTCCCCCAGATAAAGTCCCTTTTTCGTACATTTATACAAACAAACCAGCAAAGAATTTAAAATAGATAAACAGAGCGTTTTAGGCTTTATTCTTTATCCTTGTTTAACAAACTAAGTAATGATAAATTATTGTTTATATTTTTTTTATTTTTTGTACGTTTTTTCCTTCTTATATTTCAAATACAAGTATAATTAGCATAAAATTTAGAGCAAATTTGGATGCTCAAAATGCAGGAAATGGCATTTCCGGGCTTCAAATTTCAAACATTTTCTGGGGGAGTATGTCCTGACACACGTGGCCTTCGGCCAATGCTATCCCCCTCTAATAAGTAATGATAAATTATGATTATTAATATTTTTTATTTTTTGTGCGTTTTTTCCTTCTTTTATTTCAAATACAAGCATAGTTAGCATAAATTTTAGAGCAAATTTGGATGCTCAGAATGCAGGAAATGGCATTTCCGGGCTTCAAATTTCAAACATTTTCTTTGGGAGTATGCCCCCAGAACCCTTAGGGATTCATGCGTGGTATGTCGGCCCCACACGTGGCCTTCAGCCATTGGCATTGCCATCCCGCTCTAAAATATTATCTCACAGAAAGGTCCCTTTTCAAAAAATTCCCATCCTCAACGGGAAAATCCTTAAAAAAGGCCCTGGTGTATTTAACTAATCATACTTAAGGATTTAATTAACTAAAGTTATTAACGCTAATCATAGTTAAAAGTTAACGATGTTTTTATACAACCGGCCCCCGATCGTTGCGTATATTTTAAAGGCGCAGTTCACCCAGTAGTAAACTTAATGTTTTTAACATTTTAAAACATTTTTATTGTTAAAAACATTGAGTTTACTGATCTTGAATTATGTTTAATTGATTTTCCCAGTTAGTTTTTTTCAATTAAAAGGGCTGAAATGCTCCTTAAAACCATCATTCAAAAGGCTGAACTGTGCCTTTAAATGAAAAAGACATCATATAATTTCTGTGTTTCTTTATTGGTTACCTTTTTTATTTTTTATTTATTTTTAAATAAAAAAGAAAGCAAAGTTGTTTGAATGCGAGAATTCGAAATCATTTTATTTGAAACTCACCGTTTTTCGATAAAGGCAGCTTAGTTTTATAAAGAACATTTTAAAACGTCTTGCGAAGCGTTTGAGGTTTAATTTTACCTTAACCCTATTTGTACCGGGGGTGCGTACAATGAGCGCACCCTATAAATATTTATCCATCATTCCTGAACAAATGATCCCATTTGCCTGTGCTTTCATGACTTTTAATATTTTTTCTCTGCCGTCTTGACTGCGAAAAAGTTTTTCTGAAAATTCAAAGTCATCCGGACGTTTGCCGTCAGACAAGTTGTCGGGGCCAAAAATGGGAAAATGTGGGTTGGACAGTATTTTTTGGCTAAATCACTTCCCAGGACATAAATAACATAATATAATTAGAGAACATATAAAGATGGTTATTACACATGATTTGCAAAGTAAAATATCCATAATATATTATATAAAATAGTAAAATATAGTATAATTGCTGCCGAGCGTTAGCTCGGCAGCACACTATTCTTCACATTCACTTGCGCCCAGTCTCTTTCGCCGAGTTATGTATTGTCGACGTGAATCGAGATTTGTTCAAAATTTGGATGTCCGTCGGCAAACCGGGGGGCCACGGGGGGTGACACATCAGGGAAACGCGAATGCCAATGAGACGTGTCTTCACAGCTTTGAAAGATTCGAACAGTGTCAGGAAGTGGTCATATAAATTTTAACGGTATTTAATACAAGTGCAGTTTATATGTTATGCCACAACTTTCCTGGTAATATTTGTGGAAGTATTCATCAACGGTTTGGAGACTACGGTTTAGACTTGAGTTCCTATTAAATAACATTATGCTACAAAGTCAAACAACTTGCCCAGTTTGCCTTTGAACAAATGAAATGCCTTGTCGTTCGTTGAGGGACATATTTAATTTACACTAAATACGCATCGATTGGCATTGGTTTTATAAATGCTCAGTTTGCCTTTGATAGTTTGATTGTGTCAGTCCGTGTTCGAACAAATGGCTTGTTGTCGTTGAGGGACATATTTAATTTACACTAAATACGCATTGATTGCCATTGATTTTATAAATGCCCAGTTTACCTTTGATTGTGTCAGTCAGTGTTCGAACAAATGCCTTGTCGTTCGTTGAGGGACATATTTAATTTACACTATAAAATACGCATTGATTGCCATTGGTGTTATAAATGGTCTGCCTTTGATTGTGTCAGTCAGTGTTCGAACAAATGCCTTGTCGTTGAGGGACATATTTAATTTACACTAAATACGCATTCATCGATTGCCATTGGTTTTATATACTGTGGAAAATACTGCACTGAAAATCAAGCGTTTATAGTGCATAAATGAAAAATGACCAGGTCAAGGCTTCTTACTTCGTTAGACCTTATTTATAATTCAGTGTTGCCAGTTAGTTTGTTTATATAAATACTTCTGCAGCAACAAATATGCTTACTATACTATAAATATTTTAGAAGACTAGAAATATACAATGGCTTGATTCATAGTTTAGATTTCTGTGTTACCTATCAGCACACAAGAAATTCTACAGGCATGCCCGCCCCCTGTATATTATATTACATCACTTGGGCGCAAACTCTTGCAGAGACTGGGGGTCAGGTAGACTGCAAAATTCAAATTCTATGTCAGGCACGGGCAGTCACTGCCCATATCAGACAGTCCACTTGCACCTGATATGGGTCTAAATTTCCGGCTCAGGCAATGGGTGCCCCCAGAACACATTTGCCACTTAATATCAACAATAAAAATAATTTGAATACACTACTGTATGTATATGAAGTTATCCTATGTCAGGCACGGACAGTCACTGCCCATGTCAGACTGTCCACTTGCACCTGATATGGGTCTAAATTTCCGGCTCAGGCAATGGATGCCCCCAGAACACATTTGCCACTTAATATCAACAATAAAAATAATTTGAATACACTACTGTATGTATATGAAGTTATCCTTTTACATATGGAATAACAATTTTTAGGTATTAACCTACACTACACAGTTTATTGTCTGTGAACAAGCTCAATATTCTGTTCAATGCAACATAACTATACTATTTATTGTCTGTGAACAAGCTCAATATTCTGTTCAATGCAACATAACTGATAACTCAAAAGTTAATTGGTGAGAAAAATCCACTTTTCTATTTTTAGTATCTATTGTCTGCATAGAGTGAACTAGCTCTAATAATTTCAATGCAACATAACCGGAAAGTTAGTACATTTAAAATGTTCACTTTTCCATTATCGCTCTACATATCTTTTTAGAAATTAACATCAACAAGTTTATTGTCTGTAATGTCATAAGTGACATTAATTTTGCCACCTTCCAAGAGGACACATGTTATTTTATCCTCATCAAGATTTTCATTCCACTCAAACTCTTTACCATTGCACTGGAACATTTTACGTAAATGCTGATGGAAAACCATAATATTTAAGTGCTCTGATGTATTGCTATTTTCAACGAATAACCGTGCACACCATTGCTTGCTAGTGGCCATTATTCGTTGTTTCATTTTGCAGGTTTCACACTTCAGAAGAGAACCAACTTGCACTGCTTTTTTCCCACATGAACCACATATGTAATATGTTGAAATACTTCTAATACCAATGATTGTGATATCTATCTCTTTTGTTGTCATTTCCAAAACAGTGGGCTCTGGTTCAGCTAGATCTTCTTCAAAATCTTCTGTCATTTCCACCATAAATCCTTCTTTAGCTGTGTTAACATACAGCTCTTTTGTATAGTTGTTGCGTTTGACTCTCAGATTTTTGAATAGGTAGGTCTTCTTAGCCTGGACACAACTTGCCCACTCTTCCCAGAACACTGCAGATATGGAACCTGTTGGGTCAACAAGGGTGGCTGATGATTTTTTCAATGTTTTATGTTCCACTTTAATTGTTTTAACCCCTGAAATATCATTGACAGTTGCTCTAACTGTGACCAGTTGCTGTGGCACTGTGGTATACAGTGAATCAATAGTTAGAACTTCACTGTCAATTGAATCATTCAAAGCGAAAGGTAATTTCTCACTGAGGGTGCTTATAGAGCTTTTGTTTTTTATTACTACGTTAGAAAACTTCTCATTGTAGTCATAATTTTGGATCTTAACAGGGCTCTTTTTTTCCATTGCCAAACGTAGTGGCTTATTTTTAGGTGGTGAAAAACAGATTGCCTTGACTAGTGCATTTGTTCCAGTTTGGAGCTGGCAAGTTGTGTATTTAATCCTTCCTGAATTCATTACTGGCGTAACCTTATGAACATAGCAGAGAATTTCCCCATCTGAAATATTAAAACAAATTTGAATAAATTAATATCATGATTCACAAGATTAAAAATTGTTTGGCTGTTTACTTTACAAGTCCCATATGGAAACTAGAAAAACTTGTTTGCACAACAAGAAACTTACTTGGTGCAGTTGGTGGAATATCTGCGGGGACTGGGCCTGCGGAATCTGGATTTGTATTTTCCAAACCTACAGAAAAAGCACCAAATAAATGTAATTCAGATGGATATCTTGAATAGACCTTACCGTTTATTTATTCAAGTTTTGTGCTTAGTAGCAATGAAAATTACTTTGTTATTGAACCTATTATAAGAACAGCACGAAACAAATTTGTCCATTAAAACATGAGGGAAAACATGGGAATATAATATTTATCTGCTCCTGACATGCTAAAATAAGTTAACATGGAAACAAGGCCATTGGAAAAACTTACTTGAAACTTACTTGGTGCAACAATAAGAAACTTACTTGGTGCAGTTGGTGGAATATCAGCGGGAACTGGGCCTGCGGAATCTAAATTTGTATTTTCCAAACCTACAGAAAAAGCGCAAAATAGATATAATTTCAGACCGAGTATTTCCAATCGTTTTGTTATGTTGGAGGGGGAATAGGTATAAAAAATCATCAACCAATAGCAAGTCAAGAATACATGAACTTTATACTGTATTTTAAATTACCTTGCTCTTCCTCGTGCTCGATGTCACTCATGTCACCGGTGTCAGCCATTTTAAACTTTCATAAACTAAAACAAACCAAAAAATCTCCATCAAAATAGTCGTTTAGTATCATAAACTTCCTGAAATGATACACTAATATATTAAAGTGTCTAATGCCAACTGATTAAAAGGTCTTATCAACCCCAACTACTTTATATAGAGACCTCTGCCAGCAGGAACCCAACTACACTCTACAGGCCTGCCGATCGGCTTTTTTTACATGTATTAAATCATATAATTTTGCGTACATATTGGATAAGTAACTTAAAAATTAAAATTTTAAGCTTTTCAAGTCTTAGACTGAGTAAATATATACTGTAAATATTAAACAACTAACCTTTTTATAAAGACCTTTTTTGTAAAAAAGTACAGTGTCGATATATAACTGATCACGCCACAATACTGTATCTGTTAGGATACTTGTTTGCACCACATGGTCTTGCATTATTGTAATTGGCTCCTTTTAGCTTTGGTTTTAGCCAATCACAAAACTCGTTTAAAATATAGGGAACATTTACTGAAAATTTGTAAAAATCAACAGCCGATAACAGCAGATCAGTTCACAAAGCGTGGAAACATCATCGTCAAGGAAATCATTTCTGGGAGAGTGGAAGTACTGATTTGTTTTGTGCTGATTGTGCTTTTTTTGTGCTTTTTAGTCATTTATATTTGTTATCATATCACTCTCTATTGTAAAAGCAAAATAAAATGTCTTTATTAGTTAGTGGTGGTTTTCATCAGGCTGATGAGCGTTTCACTGATGAGTCTCGAGGGAAGCAATGTGCCTTTATTACCTTGTCAGCGCTGTTAACAGCGCAAAATACACCAGTTAGCGAGTGGAACTCGGCCACCATTGACAACGTATTATTACAAGGTGACGAGATGTATCTGAACGCTTTGGATAATTGTCAGATCCCACGTGAACAGTTTTTGTTAGTGGATCACTTACCGAAGATTGTCAGCAATCACTTCCTGACAGACAAGCCGAGCAATATTCCCTTTGAGGTATGTACATACAAATGCTTTGAGACGCAGAACATTGATCCGCCTATTCCAGCGGAGCCATTGAGGAACAAAGTATAGACAATGATCTGCCCATTGCGGCAGAGCCCATTGAGGCACAGCCCATTGAGGCACAAATAGACAATGATCTGCCCATTGCGGCAGAGCCCATTGAGGCACAGCCCATTGAGGCACAAATAGACAATGATCCAAACAAGAGTCAAATTTGGATAATTAATTATGGAAAAGATCGCCAAAGTCTGGTTATTAATCAGTGTGAAACTAAACCTCCATACCACACCATTAATTCAGCCTTGTTGAATACTTTTATAAATGCTAACTATGCCATTTTAATACTAGAAGGTTATATGACATATTATAAAACATTAATAAAACATTCAGATTCCTTAATAAAACATTCAGATTCCTTCTATTTATTTGATTCGCATGCCAGAGATACAAATGGCTTTCCTGATCCTAATGGCACAGCTGTTGTCATGAAATTTAACAATACTGTACATTTAGAGCAACATATATGTTCTCTGTCAATGGGATTAAATGCCAACTTATTTGAAATTGTCCCAGTGCAAATCCACATGGATCAGTGCAATAAAACTAGACTTGAAAAAGATAGAGAATATCACAAACAAAAACGACTGGAAAAATCACACAGTCCATTTAACCAGATCAGACTAGAAAAAGCTAGAGAGTCCAAAAAGAGAAAGCGAACACAAGAAACAGACAGTCAGAGACAAAGTAGACTACAAAAAGCAAAGATATATAAAAAACAAAAGCGAACAGAAAAGGCATCTGGTAATCATAATGAACAGCTGCCGCCACAGCCTGAAAAAAACAAACCAACAGGACTATTTACAAAAATTTGACATCACAAAAAATGGTGGTATTGAAAATCAATGTTGGGCAAAAACTAACATAAATAAATTCCAAAAGTCTATTAAGTTTTCAATTGTTAATTGTACAATTTGTCAAGAGGCATGGCCACTGAAGGCTAAACCAAAATCACTTACTAATTATGTGTGTTTACGATGCTCAAGAGATAAAAAATCTCAAAAAAAATTTTCCTGCAAAAATTCAATGATTCCTTCATGTGTTCCCCATGAATTACAAAATTTGACTCAAGTTGAGGAAATGTTAATTGCTCGTGCTGTTCCTATCATGAGGGTCTATATTAAACCTGGTGGTCAACGAGGTTATTCAGGGCATTGTATCAATTTACCCCAAAATGTTACTGAACTTGCAACAACTTTGCCAAGATACCCAAAAGACTTGGCTGTGATTATTGTCAAGGTGAAGGGTAGAGAGAATACCTTTAAAGATGTGACAGTGCGAAAACAAAAAGTGCAAAATGCTTTAGTTTGGCTTATCAATAATAACCCACATTATTCTGAGATATTAATTAATGAAGGTGCATTAAACTTATTACCTGAGAATGGTGTACCACCAGATCTTATGACTGTTGAGACTGATGATGATATAGTCTCGGATGAGAATTCGGCACCTGATGTAGGTCCTCCTACTGATAACCCCTCAGAGGATATTGTTTATAATAATTCCACTGAAATGAGTAGTTTTTTACCTGTTGGTGAACAACAACAACAGGAAATTGAAGCTGTGAGAAATCAGCTTTCTGAAAATGAGCCAATGGAATGGCCCTCAGTTGAAAATGAACCATTGAATGAGTACCAGATATCGCATCTAGCCACAATGGCATTCCCGACATTATTTCCGGATGGGAAAGGTGATCCCACCAACCAAGGTCTGCTAAGAGATGTTCCACTTCAGGAACGAATAAAGCATCTTTTGAAATTTGCTGAAATTATTGATGGCAAATGGGTATATCGTTTTGCTAACCACCCTAGATTTTCGTACTGGGCTTTTAACATGATTCAAAGAAAGCGAATCTTACAGCAAAGTGGAATATTCTTAAAACAAAATCCAGGTGAAGCACATCTCACCATTGATGAACTGCGGGAAATGGCTGCCAGTAACAATGCAAATGTATTTATCTCCAAAGTGTCTAGATATGTAGGCAATATTGCTGGTACTAATGCTTACTGGAATAAAGTGAGGGAGGAACTCAAGGCTATTATAACTAGTGTTGGAGCACCAACATTATTTTTTACTTTCTCCTCTGCAGATATGCATTGGCCTGAGCTACATGCTTTATTTAAGGCTGATGCTAATAGTAACATTAACAATTCTACCAGTGACGTAAGACGACAAAATGTTATTAACAATCCTCATATTGTAGATTGGTTTTTCACTCAAAGGTGAGAAAGCTTTGTAAAACACTGGCTGTATGACACCCTTGGTGCAAAATGGCACTGGTTTAGATATGAATACCAAGGAAGAGGTAGTATTCATTGTCATGGTACTGCTAAACTAAACAATGACCCAGGTTTGTGTCAACTTACTCGAACTGCTTTAAAGGGTTTCTTAGCTCAAAAATTGAAAGACGAGAATGATTCTCTTGATACAACAGAATTAGACCAGGATATTGAAGCTGGTCAGAAAGCAGCTGACACAGTATGTCAGTATGTTGATTGGTTGTTATCAACCGTCAATCCTAATCCACCAGATGAGGACATGTGGATAAGACCTGAGGTTCATCCATGTCAAAGAAGTCATGACATTCCTGAACATGAAAAACAATCAGATTATGTAGATCTGTTAAACATGGTACAACGACACACACGTTGTAGTGCAAGCTATTGTCTTAGAAAAAAGTCAAGTGAAACGGAATTGAAATGTAGATTTCACTTCCCTTTTGATTATTGTTCACAGACAAAATTAGAATTTGAAAAAATTCACACCTCAGGTGATAATGAACATTATAGAGCTAAAATTGTGACTAAACGAAATGACTCTAGGTTAAATAACCACCAACATCTTCAACTCCAAGGATGGAGAGCTAACTGTGATATTCAAGTTGTTATTGATCACTACGCTTGTGTAGAGTATTTCACAAAATATGCAGCTAAAGGTGAACCAAGGTCACCTATATTAAAACAAGCATTTAACTCTATTATGCAAAATGTTGACAGTAATACTGACCCTCGCAGAGCTATTAAGAAGATAGTTATGAAATCTCTTGGTGAAAGAGATTATGCAGCTCAGGAGACAATGCATCATTTGTTGTCATTGAAACTACATAGCTCATCATTTAAAGTGATGCCAGTAAGTTTAAACGGTTCAGGAAAATCATTAATTTTAACTGGTGATCCAGGTCAATTGCCACCAGTAGCAGATAAACCTCTTTACCATGCTAAACCATCAAACGCTGTTGGTGAACAAGGTCATCAAGCATATCATATGTTTGACAAAGTTGTTAAACTCACTGTAAATCAACGTGTGCAAGGTATGACATCTGAGCAAGTACAGTTCAGAGATTTGTCATTACGACTTCGAAAAGGTGATTCAACAGTTGATGACTGGAAATTACTTCTGACACGTCAACCATCAAATGTCACTAATTTATGTGACTTTGAAGATTCTACTAGACTATTTTATAGTAATGAACAAGTTGGTAATTACAACCATGAGCAGCTAACAAAACTTGAGCATCCAATAGCTCATATTAATGCGCGCCATTCATCTGCATTGGCCAAAAAGATATCCTCAGATGATATGTCTGGATTAGAACCTGTTGTCTTTCTAGCAAAAGGTGCTAGAGTCATGTTGACTATGAATTTGTGGTCATGTGTTGGTCTCTGTAATGGGGCTACTGGAACAATTGTTGATATTATCTATCAGAACAACCATCAACCACCTGACTTACCTATTGCGGTAATAGTAGAATTTGAAAACTATAGAGGACCTGTTTTTAATGAAAGCCAACCATTGTGTATCCCAATATATCCAATCACTGTCACATCACAGACAGAAATAGGTTTCCACGAGAGGCAACAATTACCTCTTAGGCTTGCTTGGGCTCTGACAATACACAAGAGCCAAGGACTTACTCTTTCAAAAGCATGGATAGATATTGGCAAATCTGAAAGAACTGCTGGAGTTTCTTATGTCGCTATTAGCCGAGTAAAATCACTTGCATCTTGTGTCATTGAACCTATGACATATGAACGATTAACAAGCTTGAAATCATCAGCTAATTTACAATATAGGCTTGAAGAAGAAAACAGGCTAGATCAGTTAGCACAGACTACAAATAGCAGTGCATTTACATAAGCGAACCATCAAGTTTGAATTAGATATGGGATTACAAATATGGATCCCAGTTGTACAATAGCTAGTGTAAATAAACTCAACTCTTTATTATCACTGTATGTATGAAAACATGATCGTTGGAAAGATAAAATGGTACGTTTTGTTTTCCTTAATATTAATTCCCTTTTGTAACTCCCCCTTCCTGCCTCCACCATACCTTAAGAAATACAGTCTTGAGTTACTACTTTATATTTCTATGTACTAAATTTCTTGTACTAATATTTTCTTTTTTGTTATATAGTTTTGTAACTCCGACTTAAACCATGGTTAATCAATTACACTACTGGTACCACCTGAACAGATGGATTTCACAAGAATTATTTTTACTTATATTTTTACTACAATAAATTGTGGATGTATACTATATCATCAATTTCATAATGGATATACTACATCATCTGTACTGCGAGGGAATCTGCTATACAAGAAATGAAATATTTCTATCATCTCATGAGTGATGAGGAATCCTGTGTTACAGCATGTGCTTCTCAGTTGTTTTGAAGAATACAATTATGTCTCTATGCTATATTATGGATTAGACAATTCACTGGACAAATTTGAAACATTGGTTTATATAGGGCAACGCAAAGACAGACACATGTGTATATGGGGCAAAGTTATATGACGTGTTTGTTTACCAAAAGGTAAATCCAGTTTCTACATCTTGTGAACAAGAACAGTCTACAAATTACATTAATTACATCACAATGATTTAAAGACATGTATGATCATCTGCTGTTGAAGCTGTTCAGATGGTACATTTTGCTACACTATTCAGATGCTACTGTATTCTGTTCAGATGCATATGTTTGTATCTGTATTTGGACGTTTAAGTGCATTGTGGTTGACACCAGATACTATATTTTGCTACACTGTTTGGATGCTACTGTATTCTGTTCAGATGTATATATTTGTATTAGTGTTTAGAAGTTTAAGTGCATTGTGGTTGGTACCAAAAATCCAGTGTTGACAACTGTCCATTCATAGCTATATGTTGGTTTGTAAACTCAGAGTGGTTTTTATACAGTTTTTAATCAGTGTTGTAATGTCAATGTTAACAACAAAATAAATTGATATATACAGTGTGTCTTTGTATGTGTATAACTACAAGTTAATTTAGCGTTCAGTCTATGTATGGCGAGGCAGCACTTTCCTTGCGATAGTAACTCCTAGTATAGCATACTATACAATACTTATATAATATAAAATACCTATTTATAATATTTTGTACCTTCAATGCATAACATCTCCCTGTCAATCTTTCACCACGCACCAAACGTGTAGGATGTATTATATATTGAACACTTTCGTACACGAAATTTGCCAAATTATAGTAAAATCTTTTGCATAAAATCCAGATTGATTGCCATGATTTTCAAAGTATTAAATATTGTGTTTTCATAACTATACTGCTACCCTGGAACCAGAGGGTATTTATTTTCGCCTGTTTTGAATAACCCTCTGGTGAAATTGGCGTAGTTTTTGGGTTCACATTCCACACATAACTTTCAAAAATGGAAGCAAAGAGTTGATTGGCTGCTGACTATAGGTTCGATAGACTACGTGTTCTGATTGGATATTGTAAACATCATAGCCTGTTCGCAGGCGTTTCGTGTTTTGATTGAATTGAAACATTTGAATTTTGAAATGTCTATATTATTAAATAAACGAACAAAAGTTGAAAGAAGCAGTTTTATAGGCTGCATTAATAGATAGATTGATAAATTTCCTTAATTAAAAGTTTAACGGAGCATCAATACCGCGCCTTGTCCAATTTGATTCACATTAAAGATGTATTTGCATCTTGCTATCGGTTATTGGAAGAGTTTAATATTCCAAAGTTCTAACACCGAGAGTAGCACGACGACTTGGCAAAAGCCACAATTTTCTGGAGAAACCCATCTTAATAGTCATTTGCAAATTGAACTCTTTCATTGACTCTCACGTCCGTGAACTAAGAAAGCGTGGATGCCGTTTACTTCGCTGTCAAACGAAGAGGACGAGAAAGCAATACTAGATGGAGAGTTTACATTCGCATTTTGTAATCCCGAGTCTATTATTCGAAATGCGAAATGGAGAGGAATGGTTTCATTTGAAATCTACAAGACAAATTTGCTTGCTTTTGTATTAACAGACAAAGTTCACGTCGGCCCAAAGAGGTGTGTTTAATAAATTTATAAAATACAGATTTTTTTGAATGTATATTGCAAGATTAAAGTGAATGAATATAGATATATATTTATATTAAATTGAATAGATATGATGTTTTAAATTGAATGAAATTCAGGAGAATGAATATTGCTACAAATGGGCAGGCATACACTGGACATAGCCTCCTCCGCAGGCCTCTCTATGGGTTCTAGTCTGCGAATGGGTTTGAAAAAAAAAATTCTGGGAGAGAGGCCTGCCATAAATCGAACAAAATGGACGTGTCAATGTACCTTGTGGCCGTGTCAATGTACCCCACCCCCTAAGTAGGCTTTTGGCCCTTGAAATCTTCGGGCGAGGAGCGAAGCTTGCGATTTTAAAAAACATTAAAAACTTTAAAAATGTTTTACAATGCGTCGAAATATTCAAGCTATACGAAAATTAGTTGGTCAATTGAAAGGATTATATGTCGCAATGTCTCTGGCGGTCTAAAAACGACGTGCAAATTCTGAATCGCTCCGCTCGAAGCAGCCAAGACTGCCAAGTTTTTACAAATTATGTCTACAAATATGTATTGAATGTATGGATTCAGAGTTCCGCCCAATTGTTCAGCCGAGGAACTACAATTTGAGGAAATTATCTGGCATAATTTCGAACACAAAACGAAGAATGGAACGATAAGGTATAATTTGTTTAATAAAGGGATTATATTAAATTGTATTGTTTTCTGGAATAATATTTTGACATGTCTAAGGCCAGTATTAAAAGGGGTTGTAATTTTGATTCTATTTCACTAATTTTAGTCAAATCATCAGGCATTTGGCAACATGCTCAGTGAATTGATATATAGAAGGAAAAGATCCTTCTGTTGAAGCAACCATTTCAGTAAGTGAGGAGAGAAATATCAAATACAGAAATTTGATTACTACGAACATCAAGATTTTGTTGGCATCTTAATAAATTATAAGCTTGGTTTACATATGCCTGCGGTATGCCCGCACTATCATTGTTTACAGCTGTTGATGCATACATTCTTTTGTGAATTATTTGGTTTATACATTCTTTTGTGAATTACTTCTAACGACAATAGCCTGCCAACGTACCGTAGGTATATGTGAACCAGGCTTCACTTGGTTGAATAGTTAAATTGGAATTGCAGTTTTTTTAACTCCCTCACCCCCTTAATATCATGTAAATATGCTAAATCCATTAAGTTGCATTGTGGCACCATGCCTGTGAAAAGCAGTTGGCACATGTAACAACCTCTTTCTAATATAGTATATGCCTAGTTGTGTTACACTTACTTGTAGTAATATAGGGGCCGTTCGGGCCGGATTTTTGAGGAGGAGTGAGGAGGAGTGAGGAGGAGTGAGGAGGAGTGAGGAGGAGTGAGGAGGAGTGAGGAGGAGTGAGGAGGAGTGAGGAGGAGTGAGGAGGAGTGAGGAGGAGTAATGACGTCACTCATTAACATACGTCATAATTATATGCAATGACGTCACGCGGGCAGGTTTAAACAAGATCGGCTGAAACTTGCTGACTAAGCATTTTTTAGCGTCCCTTCACGTGTGTGATACAATAGTTAGGTATATATACAAGAGAATATGTTGTTGTCTGGAGTTTTATAAGTACAGCTCTAGCATTTTGCTGTTATTGTCAAAACGCTGAGAAATAGCATTAGTGTTATATATCTAAAACTTATATATTCGGGGTATACAGCTATATGTTTTGTTGTTAAGTAATATATAAATATTATCAAGCGTCAAAACGCTGAGAAATAGCATGCGGTAAAAGTTATTATGTATCTACAATTAAACTAATATTTAAATCCCGGTCTGCCATATGAGGTCTATATACGAGAGAATATGTTGCTGTTTAGAGTTATATAAACACATGGAAATTAGAGGTTATGATATATAATTGTCAAGCGATTTCTATATTTTATTGCTAGTTTTTTAATGTACTAAAACTCGGATAAGGTTAATAAATTTAAGCTATATTAAAGCACACCGGTTGCTATGTGTTGTTAGGGTGACACTAATTAAAGGATTAACTTTTATCAGAGATTTGCATTTTTCTACTGTGTGGATAAATACGGGTAGATTAGAATATTCATTGCGCGGGCGTCGCGGGTTATCCGTGCGGGAAGAGAGAAAGCGATTTAGACAAGACAGGAGCGCTTTGCAGCCAAAAGTTGAAAGACTTTGTGTGGAATCCTGTAATGGTTGTCAAGTCGGTCATCCTAGTCAAAGACAACATGACTGCCGCATGATGAACGAAAACGAACGAGGGCAAATAAGGAATCCATTCGTCACAAAAATCAAGACATATTTTAAACTAAACAGTTCCTAAACCCGAGTTGTCAACGTCGTTGTTAAGGTCAATACTTACATGTTGTTCAACGTTATTTTAGCAAATATTCTACATACATATATACTGTTAAGATGACCGAGTCAGATCATAAGTAAGCTTATCAAGAATATAAGTTAGAACTGGAACAGTTGTAATATATTTTGCGATAAAAACATGTAATCGTTATATACGTTGTTATGTGTTGCTAAGTCATTAGCGACGCTTGCGTGCATGTATATATTAACGTACAACATATTTGTACACTAATCAGGCGGGCGGATCGCGCGGGCGGAAAGAGC